CACACACAAACAGAAAAACAAGTAGATAGAATAGAAAAAATAGAAAGCTAGTTTTTGTTTTTTTGTTGTTTTTTTTAAATAAAGAAAGAAAAACATATATAAATATAGATAAAGTAGAATTAAAATAGAATAGAAAGTGTTAGAGTTAGAGGGTCAAATAAAAGTGGAACAGATGTGTTTTTAGTCGTATCTTGAAGATAGTTAAGGACTCAGCTGCTCGGATTGAGTTGGGCAGGTCATTCCACCAGGAGGGAACAGTTAATGAAAAAGTCTGTGAAAGTGATTTTGTGCCTCTTTGAGATGTCACAATAATACGCCGTTCACTTGCAGAACGCAAGCTTCTAGAGGGCACATAACTCTGAAGTAATTAATTTAGGTAAATGGGTGCAGAGCCAGTGCTAAACTGCTAGACTTGATTCGTTTTGACTGTGCAAAGTTCTGTATGTTCTACAATATGAAATTAACAAGAGGCTTCCTCTAGTTCTGTGTAAAATTATAGAGCGACACGAAGGTAAGCGCATTATTGTTGTTGTTATTTCTTTAATTGTCGGATTATAATTAAGTATCAATAAATGACACAGTTTTGAGTTGACTGTCATGGTGTGCGCATGAACGAGTGTGAAATGCCTGCTAATTACGTTGCTTTTTCCTATCACTTTTGGGCATTTTTTGCATTTAAACTGGATTATTCTGACTGCTGACATTGAAAATCATGCATGTGTTCTTTCGAGGGTATCGGTTAATTTCATGATTGCCGTCTGCTTGCATCTTTTATTCATGTTGGGTAGCCTAATTCTCTTTAATGTAGGCTATTCGCCCCGATTTGATCCGTTTACCTGCAAAATTTATCTTATTTATAATTTATATTATTTTGTCATCAATATTTTGTTTTAAGGAATTCAAATGGCCCTTATCAACCTTGATTTACATATTCTATAACATTATTTTGACAGTTAAAGTTTTGGGCGGGTTTTTGTGAGCTTTTGGGCTGGAAATCGTCCATCCAATCTGGCAACACTGCAAGCGTGTTACAGAGTCAAGACTGTGGTTAACTGGTGTATTATTATACAGTAAAACCAAAAAAATAACGTAGCCTAATCGTAGTAAGTTTAATTACAATAAAAACAAAAAGAATCTGAAAAAGAAGATAAGAAGAAGTAGAAACCGCACATAGAATGGTAAATTCAAGTACATACTACATGCCAACTAGAAAGGTTTTTTGCTGTATAACCTTTTTTTACAATTACTTTTTAATTTGCTGCCTATTCTTGTAAAAAAAATTAAGTGCGCTTTAATTGTATTGAATGTGCACTTGTAGTGTATTTTAAAGCTTAAAGGAATATTTTTTTAAAATTGCTCTTGCAGACAATGTAATATTAAAGGGGTCATATGATGCGATTTCATTTTTTCCTTTCTCTTTGGAGTGTTACAAGCTCTTGGTGCATAAAGAAGATCTGTAAAGTTGCAAAGACTAAAGTCTCCACACTGTTCCAGAACACTTCAACCTAAATATTCAGATGTGTGCTGCGCATTTTATGGAGGACCGTTTCCTTTGATCGTCCCAGACATTAAAAAAGGACTCCTTTGATAGTTCAATCACATAACTGATTGTGGTTTACTGGCATTTCAGGCAATGGCAAGGGATGAGAAAAACTACTATCAGGACACACCAAAGCAGATCAAACGGAAAGTGGAATTATACAAACGGTGTCATCCTGAGGAATTTTTTTTTTTTTGTGAAGTATGAATTCTGACATATTAATGGGTAAGTTTAATGTGTTTTGGCATATAAATATAATACACAGAAGTGAAAACAACTCTTCAATACAATGCAACATAAAGAAAAAGAATCTGGGTTCAGTACAAGTTATGCTATCTCAAAATAATTTTGAGTTGTTTTTTAAAGAGCGTTATTGTGGTTGTTTATTAGGATTATTGTGATTTTTCCTACAGAGCAACTGTAAATGTGACCGCACCGAAGTTAAATTTTTTCCAAGAAAATAATTAATACACCAATAATAAAGTTTTAAAAGTATAGCCATAGGATTTTGTGGAATAAAAAAACACAAAACCAACAAGTCAGATATTTTCTGCATTCAACTTTATGCCAAAAATGCTGTTGATAGAGCTGAACCCAGAACATTGATTTAAGAGATTTGTTCATATTTGCACGGCAGTAGTGCTTCTCTAGATATTGTTGCTTCATCACTGTTTCTTAGAATTGTCACATGCTAAATAAAATGCGCATGACTGGTTGTGAATAAGAAGTCTGAATCTGTCAACAGCTGTTATACAAGTTATATCAAATTATTAGCCACACATTTCCTCTCCAGGATTATCAATAATATAAGAGTTCTGAGTGATCAGCATTGTAAAACCCTCACTATAAGACAAAACAATGCATTTGCATTCATAGAGGCATTTCATTTGTCCATTTGAGCTCTGGCTTAAGCCATAGTTTTCAAGAGACTGAATGCGAGATGAATTTCATTTAGTTCTCCCTCCATACCACTAGCTCTTGTTGATGGTAATTCAAACCACTTGCATAACCAGACCACATTGATTTCACAGTGAAGAGGCCTTATTTTTGTACAACCGTGGCCAAAAGTTTTGAGAATGACACAAATATTAATTTTCACAAAGTCTGCTGCTACAGTGTTTTTAGATATTTTTGTCAGTAGTTACTATGGTATACTGAAGTATAATTACAAGAATGTCATAAGTGTCAAAGGCTTTTATTGACAATTACAACAAGTTTATGCAAAGACTCCGTATTTGCAGTGTTGACCCTTCTTTTTCAAGACCTCTGCAATTCGCCCAGGCATGCTGTCAATCAACTTCTGGGCCACATCCTGACGGATGGCAGCCCATTCTTGCATAATCAATGCTTGGAGTTTGTCAGAATTTGTGGGTTTTTGTTTGTCCACCCGCCTCTTGAGGATTGACCACAAGTTCTCAGTGGGATTAAGGTCTGGGGAGTTTCCTGGCCATGGACCCAAAATTTCGATGTTTTGTTCCCCGAGCCACTTAGTTATCCCTTTTGCCTTATGGCAATGTGCTCCAGCATGCTGGAAAAGGCATTGTTCATCACCAAACTGTTCTTGGATGGTTGGGAGAAGCCACTTAGTTATCCCTTTTGCCTTATGGCAATGTGCTCCAGCATGCTGGAAAAGGCATTGTTCATCACCAAACTGTTCTTGGATGGTTGGTTGAAGTTGCTCTCGGAGGATGTTTTTGTACCATTCTTTATTCATGGCTGTGTTCTTAGGCAAAATTGTGAGTGAGCCCACTCCCTTGGCTGAGAAGCAACCCCACACATGAATGGTCTCAGGATGCTTTATTTTTGGCATGACACAGGACTGATGGAAGCGCTCACCTTTTCCTCTCCGGACAAGCTTTATTCCGGATGCCCCAAACAATCAGAAAGGGGATTCATCAGAGAAAATGATGTTACCCCAGTCCTCAGCAGTCCAATCCATGTACCTTTTGGAGAATATCAGTCTGTCCCTGATGTTTTTCCTGGAGAGAAGTGGGTTCTTTGCTGTCCTTCTTGACACCAGGCCATCCTGCAAAAGTCTTCGCATCACTGCGCATGCAGATGCACTCACACCTGCCTGCTGCCATTCCTGAGAAATGATAACTGCACGTTTCCTTGTAACCAAAGTTAACAGAGGAAAACAATGATTTCAAGCACCACCCTCCTTTTAAAGCTTCCAGTCTATTATTCTAACTCAATCAGCATGACAGAGTGATCTCTAGCCTTGTCCTCATCAACACTCTTACCTGTGTTAATGAGAGAATCACTGACATGATGTCAGCTGGTCCTTTTTGTGGCAAGGCTGTAATACAGTGGAAATGTTTTTGGGATTAAGTTAATTTACATGGCGAAGAGGGACTTTGTAATTAATTGCAATTCATCTGATCACTCTTCATAACATTCTGGAGTATATGCAAATTGCCATCATAAAAACTGAGGCAACGGACTTTGTGAAAATGTATATTTGTGTCATTCTCAAAACTTTTGGCCACGGCTGTACAACTGTGCAACGTCAAAACAAAATCTCCAATTGAAGCATATATCACAGTTATGAAAAGAGAATTATCTGAGGTATCCACTGTCAACCACACAATCTGGCATGCATGGATAAATTAGGTTAATCTCACGGAATGTACCTATTCCACCTCAAAATCCAAAGAGAAAGAAAGGTTATATTTTCAATAATTAAAAACAAATTACATCATACATATATTGTGTATAAAATATATATACACACACGCACACACACAGTGGGTATAGAAAAGAATCACCCCCCTTTATATAATCACATTTTGTTGCTTTGCAGCCTAAAACGGACAGTTTTTGTTTTATCCAGCTGTATTTACTCAGTGCAACTTAATAACATCCAAGTGAAAGATATAACACCAACATGTCAGAAAGAAATAAAATTAAATAAAAAAAAACAGAATCATTGAGTTGGAAAAGGATCAGCCCCCTCCTAAAAATGGGTGATCCTATTCTATACCACTGTGTGTGTGTGTGTGTGTGTGTGTGTGTGTGTGTGTGTGTGTATGTATATGTATGTATGTATAGATAGATAGATAGTTTAAAGGAAGGATATAATAATATGAGAAACATGAACAAGAAATATTAATTTTCAGGCAAAATTAAAAGTTTCTTTCTTTAACCAAGTTGACTCCACATGCAGATTCAAAGCATATGTAATGTGCTCTTAGTAATAGTGAATATAATAATCCTATTAATGACAAGTGAGATATTGTACATTGTAACTAGCAGCAATAATGGCAACAGTACTCATTTGTTTTAAAGTGTTTGTTCAACTTCTTCAATGTCACAGCAGTGGCATTATGATGCAAATGCTCCTTACTCCTCGCATGATTCAATGATGAAACCAATACATCGAATGCTCACTCATTACTAAAGATCCCTTTGTCAGTCCTTTCTGGCACAGTAGTGCCAACCTTCAAATGGGAGCTTGGTTTCATACCAACGTCAGAAGCAGGTCCTGGAACATTTGGAGGCTGCAGGTTCTGCTTAATCCATCAGATTCCAACTGAGCAGCCAGCAGGAAAAGCTTCCTCTGATCAGCTACTGAACTCAGGGAGAGAGCCTCACGCAGCTCCGGGATGCTAACAGTGTCGGGCTTATCCTGGGTGAGGGTATAAAAAGCATTTTAGTCCAAATTCAAACTGAAAAATAAATCAGGGTGCCTGGTACTCTATTAAAGAGATAGTCTACCCAAAAATGAATATCCAAACCTGTATGACTTCCTTCTGCAGAACACAAATGGAGATATTTTGAAATGTTAATTTGATGTTTGTCCTTACAATTAAAGTCAACTGGGTCCAGTGTTGTTTTAAACACCTTTGACTTTGTATGAGTATCAAATCATCAAACTATCAAATCAAGTTACCTATATTTATATAAGCAGCTTTACTATAAACTATCCCTTTAACTAAAAAAAATAAAATAAAAAATAAAAATAGAGGCTAAAGATCTATGAAATCAATATGGAGCCTTTCTGACATTATAAACAGGGTTAAAGTTTAAACCAAGAACTGAGCCTTTGGTTACCTGCTTGTTTCCCAAGACCACCACTGGAATATCAGTGTCTGCTTTAAGTAATCGATGGAGCTCGTCTTTGGCCTGAGGGAGCCGGGCTCTATCAGATGAGTCCACCACGTACACCAAGATATGTGTTCTCCTTAGGTAATCTACCCAGTACATTCGCAAGTCTTCACCACCTCCAACTGATGGGAAAAGATAATCAAAACAGGAATTGACTGTATGATGTGTTATTACTGCCATAGACACAGATGAACAGGCTTTTCTAAAATAATAAATAAGGCATTAACTGAATCATTATTACTTGTAGAGCAAGAATTAAAGTATCCCACATGAGAAATAGGAGCATACTGTTGTGAAAAAGAAGTGCACTTAATTGTATTGAATGTGCACTAGTAGTGTACTTCAAATTTTAAAAAAGTATATATTTTTTTAAAAGTATATTTTTTCATATCGGCGAATATGCCGCCGATATGAATTTTTTTTTTTACAGAACATAATGCAGATAAAATGCTTGAAATTGTGTAATTACTTAGTTTGTCCAGCAGAGCGCGCTCCATTGTTTGCTACTGGCTACCTGGATGAAACGCTTTAAAGCTTAAGTCTATGGAAAACCATTGAAACTTTGAACGGCCATATCTCCGTAACGGCGCGGCGAATCCGCACCAAATTCGGGGGATCCCTTCAGCTCGAGGAACCCTCTCGAATGATAATAGAGTGTACGTCTAGAGGCCCTCGTTCGAATGAGACCACCCCCGCGTGGATAGCCCCCGGGGTTCGGGAGTTACGGGTGGTTAAATTCGCGTTCCGGCGCCGACCGGGAGGCGATCCCGGGGGGCTACCGACGCGCGGAGGGGGGCGTTCGCGAGGGCTCCTTAAGCTGAAGGGATCCCCCGAATTTGGTTGAGATCTGCCGGCGCGTTCGCGAGATAGTGACACCAGTCAACACTTTCACTTCAGTAAGGAGGTCTCTTGTTCAGATGATATTCCGCCATGATTCCAGTTCCAAGGGAACGTACACGTTACATTCAAAGGGCATTAAAGTGCGCGAGACGTGAATTTATATTGTATTTATTTACAGAGGTAGGGGAGAGGGGGGCACAAAGTAACACTTTTTGACTTTCTCAGTTTTGTGTAAATCCACATGGGGTTCAGAATATATAGAGATTTTTTATCCACAGTAATTTCACACTTGCCTAGTACAAATATGTCGCTTTGTTTCATAATTACAGTGTATAATATTAGGGAGTAAAAAAAGGCCGATACCGATATCGGCCCCAAAAAACCCATATCGGTCGGGCTCTAGTAAAGATGTACATAATCCTACTTAAATGGGCTAAAACACTGTCAAGCTCACACTCTCAAGTTGCATTTAATATAAATTTAAACTATAATACTGTATATTTTAATTTAAATAACATGCAATTAAGTGTCAGAAAACATTACATTTTAAAGTATTCTTTTAAAAGAATATTCTTTCTGTAAAAGTACTCTTTTTAAAACTATGCTAAATTGTACTTCTTCCTCACAAAGGTATGCAAGTGAACAGGGTGGTCTGGCACTGATCCATACTTTCCAAGAAGTCCAGCTGGCATGCAGGTGTGTGTAGGCTGATGAAGTTGAAGCCACGTGTGGGTCGGCAGCCCCTCCTGGAGCCCGCTCCACTCAGCCCCTGCAGAACGCTGCTCTTACCAGCGCCGTCCAACCCAAGAACAAGCACCTGCTTCTCACTGTGCTCCTCCTCCTCCTAAATATATACATGTTCATGGAAGAGAAGGGAGTGAAATGAGCAATGGAACAGAATTAGATTTAGAGTCTGCCAGTGCTTATCCAGAGTGTGGTACTGGGATTTTATCGCAAGCTGCCGGAATTATGCAATTCTGTGTACAAATAGTCAGAGTCTTGGTATCATTAATTAGTGTCTTAGTTGTGTAAAAACAGACAGACTGACTAGTTTTCTGTTACTTTGGCTACTCTGTTGCACTCTACATCAAATGTTACCATACTAGATTGTGTGTGCAAACTGTACTGTATTATTGTAAGTGTATTATTGCAACTTTATGTTCATAATGATTAATCCATATACTTTTTTGGCTAATGAACTTTCATGATCCTAATGAATAGTTCAGAATATTTTGTTTACAGGTTTGACTGATTCATTGAAATGAACCGACTCAAAAGAACAACTGAACATCATTTTAAAAGCAATCTCTTCCAAGATCAATACCTAGCTGCTGACTGAAATATTATAGAGCTGAGCATAACCTAATATTTATATTCACTAGGCCTATAGAAATGTCCATGTCTTTAAGATAATTTTATGATATTATCGAATATTCCATGGCCTTGGGAACTATATGCACTTTATTTATATATTTAGAGGGAACTATATCTAAATATCGTTTTTTTTTTCTTTTTCTTTTTTGATAATAAACAATAATACGTTGCAACAGTCTTTCATGCAGATGGGTATTGAACTTTTAGTGAGAAATATTAAAAATCCACTACAAATAAAGAGAAATGAGATAAGACAAACAGGATTACTTTTATCTATACTATGATTTCTCAAAAAGTACAATTTAAGAATAATAATATAACCTGAATGCACATGAATGCCTACAGTTCAATTTACTGAGAGTTCCCTTGACGATTGTCTCTACCTATCATGCGAGATAGGCGGCTATGGGAAGCCAAACAACCCAAAAGTGGGACGAAACAGCGCGGTATTAGGACATGGGAAGCCAAACAAACAGAGTCGCATGACAGACACAGTGATGAAGCTGGTATGTGTTTTAAATTTAAATAACAACATTCCCTTTACTAGAGACAACAAAAATCCCATATATATATAGTAGGCTATTTAATAATAGTTCAAATTTAAAATGGGCAATATTGTGCTGAATGTAGAACTTGACAACAACAACAATAACAATAATAACTAAGTACAAAATAAAAAATATATATATACTAGAAGCTGGGTGTGCTCCTCAAGAGGACTATGGTATTGTAAATTTATTAAAGTCTTATATATTTTATATTTGCAGTTTTTCAAAGTACAACTGTTTACATGTAGTAGAAAGGTAAGCAAAAGAAATGTAATAACTTAAAGGGGTCATATGATGCTTTTTTAAAGATCATTATTTTGTGTATTTGGTGTAACAGAATTCAGTTCGGTGGCGCTAGTAAACACGTCCTCTCTGCGCTGTGGAGTCGGTCGCGCAGCTCGGTCCATTGAGCCGCGCCGATGACAGTTCAGCGCTTTGCGAACACTTTAATACCACGCTGTTTCGTCCCACTTTTGGGTTGTTTGGCTTCCCATAGGCGGCATCATAAAAAGAGACACTATTTCTTTCGTTTCATACTCACCTCTCGGAACGTGTAGTAGTCTAACTCTGGTGTCCATACCCGTCTTTTATCAAAGTGATTGAGTGCGATAAACAACGCGGTCCCGACCGCAGCCATAGCGGCGCTGAACGCCACGGAGATATGACGCAGTACAACCATGAGCTCACCTGAAGTTCGGTGCGCGAGCTGCTGCTTTTGCTCTCCAGTGCACGTGATCCGCCCTGCTTGTTTTGAAAAGCACGCGAGGGGCGGAGAAACCATCATGTCTTGAGATTACAAATGAAGGATGGTTACATGGTTTCGTATGGTAATAAAGTAATAATATTAATAACAACAACAATAATAACAACAACAACAATAAATTACAGTTCAACTTAAATTTGCTGTCTGAAAATTGTGTTGTATATAATTATATAGATCAGTTGTTGTACCGTGGTATGTGTATGACACTAAAACTATGGTGTATACTGAAATATTTTTGGGTTAAAAGCAAATTACAAAACAAACAGAGACAGACAAAAAAGAAAAAAAAAAGTTAAAACCGTCGAATAAATCATCCTCTCCTGCTCGTCGTTGGAGGGCGATGTTTAGTTGAAATTTGGGTGAGGACATGTTCTTTATTTTTGGTAGAGATGCCCATGCACAGTTTAAAACGGCAACTGCACGCCCCTGGCTGTCTTTTTGCACACTTCTGGATTTGCTTTGGTTCCTTTGATTTAGAGTGAAAAGCAATTAACACACAGCTAAAGAGAACCACATTGATTACTTTGCATTGATTCGTTAGTTAAGGTAACTTTTATGTCTAAAGGATGCTTTAAAAATGCTTAAACACACAACCAAGGATACATTATTACAACGTGAATATTGTGCCCGTTTATGCTATTTTATTATTTTATTTTTATATTATTGATTTACGCACTTTTTATTTTGCTTGTCCATCTTTCTTTTTCTAATAAATATATTAAAAGTTTCAAACCCACGGAAATGGCATATGTTGCACTTTTTCCTATCAATTTGGGTTTTTCCTGTTAATTTGGTATTTATGTGTAGGATTTAGCCTATAATAAATAATAATTGTCGCCAATACTGCCATCAGTAGATTCGTGCCAAGCATTTGAAAGAACAATCGAGTTGAGTCAAAATAAAGTGAATTTGATACTTTTATTGATTTATTATTTTGTCTTCAAAGTGTACTTTGTTATAATGTCAAATTTAAAGTTTTACTTCAAAGTATATTTTAAATCATTACAATTTATTAACATTTTGTTGTGCTTTAAAGAAGTACACCTTTTTTGTGTTGACAGGCTACTAAAGCACACGTAAAGCACTTTATATTCATTTTAACTTGAAGTTTTTTTTTAAAGTTAATATATTCTAAATGTACTAAATAGCAACTTTATCATTAAAGATGTGTAATTACATACATTTAAATACAGGACATACAAGCTTCAATGGAAATAAAATGTTATTTATTGATTGATTGATATTTATTGATTTATTCATGTATTTATTTTAGGAATTTTACATCATGATTTGTAAGCATTTTATGAATTAAATTGGGTAATTCAAAAACAACGCAATTGTTATTTTTTTTTTTATGCGAAATGTATTAACTGCTAGCTTACTTCTCTTGTCAACTATTCCGGGGCTTATTCAACCCCTCAGAAAAGTGATAGATGTCATTACCAGTGTTGGGGGTAACGCATTACAAGTAACGCGAGTTACGTAATCAGGTTACTTTTTTCAAGTAACTAGTAAAGTAATGCATTACTTTTTAATTTACAGGAGAATATCTGAGTTACTTTTTCAAATAAGTAACGCAAGTTACTTTTGTTTTTCAATTTATTGATTGACAGCTCTCCTGTCAATCAATCCTGAGAGAAATCAGAAGATGTTACTGTAGTTCTAAAATAAATATGAATATGCATTAATTCATCTCACTCAAAAAAAAAAAACACAGATTCAGTATTCTTCAAAATGAATAAAAATAATGCAACTCAGAATATGACACAAACCTGCAATAATTAAATGTTAAACAACACAAATATCATCAAGCCTTGCTCATACCCTGTCCAGATTGTAAAAGTAACGTAACGCATTACTTTAAATAAAAAGTAACTAAGTACCGTAATTAGTTACCTTTTTTATGGAGTAACGCAATATTGTAATGCATTACTTTTAAAAGTAACTTTCCCCAACACTGGTCATTACTATCACACAACAATATTATCACACATTGAATTTTAAAAATCCACTTAAGAGTTGATCTTTATTCCAGGACAAAACCGCCCATACGTAATAAATAGGAAGAAATTTTCATTTATCATTTATAACGTACGAAATTATAAACCGTATTGGTGCACTGCTACTAGAAGGGCTACGGCCATCACCTGTATGACGTAATCCATTTCAACCGCAGCATAGCGACCGAGCTTGACTACGGGGGAGAACCGCACACAGCCACTTAAAGGAAAAGACAACATTTGGAAACAAATGAGAAAGAAACGCGCTACTTTCAAAAGAAATTGCTGAAATGCTGTGGAAGTGATTTGAATGTATCGACAAAACGACAAGATACGGAATACGTTTGTATGGAGTAACTGTTTGCTTTGCCTATATAACGAGCTTTTGGGCTAACAGGCTAGCACAGTTGTCGCTAAAACATGGTGGGCAGACACTGAGCGAGGAAAAAAATCCTCTAGACGCGCTCAAATATTTGTGGATAATGCTAGGGAATTAATTCGTTTGCTGTCTTTACTGCTCATAGGGAATTGTGTGGACTTGGAAATTGCTTTTTGGTTTTCTTTTCTTGGAGGAAAACTCTCGCGCACGACCTTTGAAAGTTTCGCGTTCTGACGTTTCGCGCAAGGTAACCATCCATCAGGCTCCGCCAGAAAAGATGATTGATGTATTCCGTACTTGACCGAGAATGCACAAGAAACGAAGAGTTTCTCACCATAAGCGCAACTCTTGCGGCAAAGTTACCCGATTCAGAGCATCACACCCTCATCCATTCATTTAACAGCATTCGCTCGTGAAAACAATGCTCAATATAGGCTGTAGGAACTGAACTGGAATATTGGAAACCGTATCATGGATTATATGGAATACATCTGTGTCTAATTAATGGCACTTTCCTTATGCGTTAGGTTTAAATTTGGACTAGTCCATGAAAAGCAACACATGGTTTGCTTTCAACTCAATTTAGAAGACTTACAGAGAAAATTACATGGAGACTAGTTGGTCATGCCAAGGAAGGAGTTACCATTGCCAGAGGGTTGGGAAGAGGCCCGAGATTTTGACGGGAAGGTCTATTATATAGACCATATTAACCACACCACCAGTTGGATTGACCCAAGGGATAGGTATGTGATGAGTACTGCATGTTCTGGGAATGCATACTTGCTTATTCAGTAAACAGATGCATGCTGAGTCCATTACTCATGTGTACAGCTGTGATTCAGTGACTCTGTGATAATTCAGATCCTCTTTGTTTTGTAATACAATTCACTTCTCAAATCATACATACACACACACATACATCAACACCTAAAATGGATTTATTTTAGGCTCAATTTCAGTGTTTTCTGATGTTGAAATATTGCTTTGTTCATCTAGAACCCATGATCAGTGCCAGCTTTACCACTCAAGTCCTCTTGGACTTTAACACAAAATCTGTGCAGGAATGC